TTTATTTTCTTTGGTTTGATAAACACGAGACTCCAATATTCATACCAGTTAATAATGCAATAATTACTATTAAAATAAGTGTTAAATATATTACCTCCATTTTATGTCTTTTTAAAATGTTATTTTATAATTTTTCTTTTTTCAGTTCTAAAAAAAATAATGGTGATAACGATTATTCAATTAAAGTATTTACTCACAATCCTCTTCTATATATGAGGGATTAATTTTAAACCTCAGGTGGTTTCTTCGGACCTATTTGTATGTTATCGTCTTGGATATTATCCGGTCGTTTGTTAACTTCTGAGACAGTTTTAAATTTAGGTTGATCAGTTGGTTTGTAAGGTGGTTGTGATTGAGGTTGTGGGTATTGAGAAAGAGAAGTTTGATAAGTAGGGTTTCTATAAACACTTGGATACCCATAAGATGGGTCTTGGTTGTGATTAAAATCAGGTGGAATAATATCAGGTCCTCCACCAAGATTTCTTTGTTGATCATACATATATGATGGACGTCTATCTTGATCTGTAAAATAATCAGGAGCCATTGGTACATGTGGTGGTTGTTGTTGAACACCTCCAGAAGAAGGAATTTGACCTGGAAGCATTTGACGAGAATTTGGAGGGATGGTTTTCTCAGTCATTACTGTTTGATCTTTTTGAATAACAGAAGTGTCATTAATACCAGGTGTAGTAGCACCAACAGCACGTTGTTCAGAGAGATCTTCAGGAATACTAGTAGAATGGCAAATAGCAGGGTACTATTTATAAGTAATTATCAAATATAGAAATAGAACATATGAATGATATATAAATAAAACTTATTATCTTTAAATACACAGAACATTATTTCATCATTCATACACTTCTTCTTATCTAAAGAAAAAAAATAACAAACGTCAGCATTTGAATAACTAAAGTAATTAGATTTAAATTCAACAAATTTGATTAGTGTGTCTTTAACATCCTTTGAAGAATATACTACTAATTTATCGTTTGCAAAAATAAAGAGTGATACTTCACAGTCACACAAAATACTTAATTCCATTGCTTTTTTAATTAGTCCATGACTTCGTTTAGTATAAGTGGCTGTTCTTTTTCTTTCACTTTCAATTCTTTCTATCTTTATTTTATTTCTTCCCATTTTGTATTTCTTTTTTGAGGATCTCCTATTTATATTTTTACCCTTAAATAGTAAACCCTTTATCTCTTTTTGATTGGTCAATTATCTGGTTTAAATATATAATTAGATTTGTTATAAATATAGTTAATTTGATCTATAAATTTATTGTAGAAGTTTCTTTTTTTCTTTTTTTTTTTTTGCTTCTTTTTGTCTCTTTTCATTAAGTATAGTTTTTTTATATAATTATTATTA